CAGGAGACCATAGTAAAGAATGTATCAATTATTTTTATTAATGGGATGCTACTGGATCATGATGTATCATAATGGACTAAATGTTTAGCGGTTGTGAAGTGTTTTGTCTGTTACGTATCTCAGATGTTCTTAGTTGATGTTATTATATTGTCTTGTGATGGCATTCTTTGAGGGACCAGATAGTGGAGTTTCACAAGGGACATATAAAGAAGTGTTTTAATTTCAATCCTTTAATTGTATTCATATAATAAACATAAAATACCAGCATGTATAAAATGTAATTTTAAAAAGATTGCATGTACAGTGCGTAATAAAGTACATTCTGTCTGCATACATTGACTCAGAAAACAAGATAATATATGGTTAACAATGAAAAATAGCAATTATTATAAAAATATTCTACAATCTCATAATAGTAATGTAAATGCCTTTACTTATCTAAGAGACTTAATTTTAAATTACAATAATTTTACATCCTCCATTCATATATACAACCCTATTAAAGTCAAAAGGTATTATAATAACAATGTTCTTATTAAGATTAAATGACTGAATTATATTTAGTTATTTTACTATATAAAGCAACTGTATTCCTGTTTGTTAAAATTGTTTTCACTTACTGTAGCTTTTCACACTATCCACGCTATGCGCAACAAAATAATTTAGGTTTCTGTTCTAAGTCTAGTATCTATATCCATTTCATGAATTAAACAGGATGTTAATATTTCAACTCCCTTTCCTTTTGTGTAATTGTTGGTCCACTTTTTTTGTGTATTCTGTAGGAATATGTCCACTGGCTTTGAACAGCTGCAACTGAAAACAAGCAATTCCTCATTTAATACATCTTGACAAAAATAACCAGTTCCCCTCACCCCCTGCCCTGTTTGAGGTCAAACTCTCTAAGTCTTTAAAATTTTTTCTAGGCCCAGAGCCACAGACATATTATGCATTTCTTTCATGAGACTTCATTAAACAGATCTCTGTAGGAGATAGCTAAAAAGTGCGTTTCACTTCCACCACATTTTAGTTCAACAAAACTCACATGGACAGGAAAGAAATTCTGCCTGGGGAAGGACATTAGGATTTGTCCCTGTAGTCGTGAAATCCCTTTCCTGTGTGCAAGCTGATAGGACTCTGCTCTGCTCTGACAATCCTCTCAGCTTCACAGCAACCTCACCAAACCTGGGGTGGGAGAGGGAGTGCTTACTCCAGAAAAATCTAGGACGTGATTACCAGCAAACACATCTCCTAAATGCCTTCAGTACAACCCATTCATCCCCAGAATGTCCTAGATTACTGTTTCTTGCACCCTGTCGCACCACTTAATTTCAAGGGTGATGCTGTAATACAAGTTATAGCTAAACACTGATTGTGATGACTTATTACTACAAAAAAAAAATATAATGGTAGTGAAGGGACATTGCCATCATACACACCTACAGGTAGGGATACATTTACGGTTTTGGGCAACGGGGTTGAAGATTTTGTGAGAATGACAACAGCTTGAATATGTTTAATGATCGATGTAATGCAATATGTTACAAAAGGAGCATTCACTATCTTCTGTTAAGTTTCTTATGCAGGAAGTGGAAAAAAAAAAAAAAAAAAGAAAAACAACGTGGTGCTCCAGATAGAAGCAATTGTCAGAAAAATAATTAATGGATGCACTATAAAGTTTGTTTTTAAACAGTGCTTATAAAAGTGATGAAATTCAGGATGTTATTTAAAGTCAATATAGTTCAGAAGTATGCTCTAACTGCCATGTAAAAGTTCAATGGGAAAATCATGTAATACATTCATATTTAATTTCTTTTGCTCCATTATGAGCAATCCACACTGGTGTATTTAAAACTAATGTGGTAGAAACAGCAGTACAAGGACAAATGGCATTTGATATCAACCAAATATCCCTTCCTTTCATCAGATGAAATGGACAATGCACATCCTACACTAGGCATAAAGTGGGCATAAAGGTTACTTTTAATTCATCACATTTTGTATTCAAATGTCAATATTAGCTAGTCTTTGGCAAAACTATGACGAACTGTTTCCTCTTTTAATAAGCCTAATTTATAGAATCTTTCCAATTAAAATGCTGATCAGTCCTATGTTCAATTACCTTTGGTTAATACTCATTTGTCATTCCATTCCTTTCCTTCATGCTAAAAAAAAAGATTACCAGAACCCTGTTTGTTGTGGATGTTCTTTTTAACCATGCAGTGGGAGCATATTGTAGCCTCTTCTGCAGGTTAGGTGTGTGCTGGGCTGTCTGGGAACCCACACACACGTAACAAGATCAGTTCTGCTCTCTTCAGCTTACATCCAAGTAGTTTGTACAGGCCTATAAAAATCGTTTGTTTTCTAAAACCAAATATTCTAATGAAATTGTATACTCCATCACCTTTCATAACCTTCTGATTGTTATTTATTGTTGCACTGCTAACTTTCCAAGTAAAAAACTATTGTGACACTATCTGGGTTTGTTATGAATGGGCTATGGCCTTGGAGAAACAAAAACCTTACAAGGACTTTGAGGAGGATGCAGGTACCAATAACAGAAGAAGATTAAATAGTTGTTCTGTTCTTGCATAATGTGCTTAAAAACATTAAAAATGTTTTGCAAACAATCCACTTAAAAATCTTCTTAATATTTTCAATCCTGTGACACTTCTGGGGCACGAAGCAGGCTCAGTGACAGCAAAATTAATACACACTTTTGAAACATATTTTGAATTATTAGAGCACTCCCCAATGTGATGTTTTGGGTTTGGTTGAGGAATGAAGGAATCTTCACAGGTTCTGTGAAGAACCCGTGCCAGCTTATTTTCCCACGTATTAATCTTACAATTAGGATGATTGCACTTAATGTCCTCCAAGAGCATACATCACTCTCCAGAATTTCACTGTGTATAGAAATGATATGTCTTCTACCTGTCCTCTAACTGCCAAGTCTTTACTGAGTCATCAAAACACATTTTCTGAACGTCCCCTCCTAACAAGATAGTTACAAGAAGCAGTGCATCACATCAACTCTTCTGAATATTCCCTTCGGTTTGAAAGTCTTCCTTTTCATCTTTTCTGAAGTGAATCCAAAGCCAAATTTGAAATTAAATTCTCTTTGTTTCAAGTGTATGCAATGGGAAACTTGTCATTTCCCTCCATTTCCAAATGGATCAAAGGCATGCATATGGATAAAGTAGAGTCCCTTTGGAAAAATCTTACGGTGCTGCTAAAGGACACTGAAAGCACTGTCCAGAAGCACACTGTCGTGTCTGTAAATTCTGATCTCTTCCATTCAAAAAAGGATACAGCATGAACAATCAGAATATTCTTGGAGTAAGCAGTTGACTTAGCTTTGTCACCAGTAGTGCTTGTTTTAAATTGTGCTAAGTGTAACATGGAGTATCTTTGTGGAGTCCTGTACATCCACATAGTCTCTCTGCAAAACTGTCATATCTTTTTATGTCCAAGTTCATTTGAGTCTCTGTCATTATGTTAGTTTCAATTTCTCTTCTGTATCATTAAAATATATATTAAAAGACTGTTCTTTTTCTACAAATGAAATATTAAAAAAAAAAAAAAAAAGGAATGCCATGAAAAGCTTAATGGATTTTCTCCTTTTAAAAAGAAGCATACACAGTTTACATTTGATGCTCACTTCACTTGTGTGAAAGCATTACCATCTGGTTTTTCAGGCTTTAAAAACTGTAACATCTCCACAGTTCCCAGCATAAATATTTCCCTGGTGCTTCACGTTTTGTAGAATTTTTAGTACATAAAAAAAAAAAAAAAAAAAAAAAAGGAAATTAACAAATGACTAAAACTCGTGTTTATAGGAGAGAAAAGTGAATGCAGATTGAAGAAAGAGTTTGAATACACTTTTGTAACATAGGTATTCCTTTCATGGTAACCATTTTCATAGTGCTGTAAAAAGTCATGGAATGATAGTAAAAATGTTCCTAGTGAAGAAAGATTTGTGCAAATGTCAGCTGTGAACAGATGGTGTGAATTTGGGGCAGAGTGATATGAGTTCATGTCCGTCTTATTTTCCTGTGAAGTAAGGGCTGATTTAAACCCTTGTCATGTAGTAACTTATCTTCACAGTGGCTCTCCTTATTCGTATTTAAAATAAGCACAAACACCATGCTTACATTCAACTCAGTCTTTTAGCAAGTGGTTTAGAGAAATATGAGGCCCTTTCTGCTTTTATAAATCATCTCCATCATCTGTGCTAAAGCTGCTTCTCCTGCTGCTCTCTTTTGATGCAGCTGGGGATGTGGAGGACAAGAGCGGGTCTGTTCCAAACGGTGACACTGTGTCATCCAGTAAAATTTCCTCTAGTCGTTGCTCTTCTTTTAAAGCTGCACTGAAGGACAAATCCGTAAAGTGTGATAGTGGATCAGAAAAGGCTGTAGATCCATCGCAAACATCAGAATTTGGTCCGTGTGCCAGAGGCATTTGCTGAGAGTAGTCTGCAGAGTTCTCCTCTGGATAAGATTGTTGCTTGATGACGTGTGCAGCTAAATCAACAGCACTGAGGGAAGACATGACTGGAAGGCCATGTGCACGTGCCTGGATCTCTAGTTCCTAACATTTAGAATAAAAAAAATTAGATAATTGCTTCATAAGACAAAACAGCATCTTTAAAACTATTGCAATAAGTATACACTTCATACATGCAAATCACCCTTTTTGCCTAGTTGTGAGACTATGTTTTAAAATATGAAATTGTTAATCTGTGAAAATTTGCTGTGTGAATGTTTTTCTTTCTGTTTCCCCTCCTGTCATCAAGCTACTGTCCAAAGGCAACATAAGAGGTAGGACAAACTCTCTAAAACTGTCACATACTGAACCAATAAAGGTGACACAAAAACGTTGCAACTTTCTAGTTCATTGTCCACTATTCTTCAGAGAAACAGAGGATACTTTACTTGATCCTGCTTATGATATACAAATGTATGTGTAAACCACTTTACATAAGGTGATTCATGCTATATATATATATCTGTCTATCTATCAGTCTATCTCATCTTCCTATGGGTTTATATTCAAATCTTGAATCTGAAGCCATGCAGGGCTCTACCTAAAGAAGTGTAACGTGTGAAATGGTGACAAAGGGAATAAAAATACTGAAGGGAATTTTGTGTCCAGTACTGAATTTTGGCTGCAGGTATACATTTTTTTGCTTCATTTTTTTTTGTCTTTCTCTGGTTCTAAGTCATACATAAGGAAATTATTTGCACAAATATTTTATTAACTTCTGATCCATTCCTTTATGCAAGATCTAATTATCAAGGGAATTTCCCAGAAATCTTAATAATATCCCCTCACCAATATACACAGCAATAAATAGGGAAAGCAAATTCATTTTTAATAAATGCCATTTTGGGAAAAATTATGTAGATTAATAAAATTTGACGAGGGATAAGTACTGAGAAAGCTTTGTTACGCTCTTATACAAACCTGAATTCGGAGTAGAAGTCTTCTGTTAGCATGCTCTAATTTCTTCTGCCTGTGTTCTAATTCTCTGGCTCTCTGTTGTTCTTTTTGTAGCCACTTGATGTACTCCACTGATGCTTTTAAAATAGTTCCTTTGTTCCAGCGCATATCACTGCAGAATGTAGAGATAACCTTTTCACAATTGTGCATGTCAGCAGAATTCATAAGAACTTACAAAATCTTTTACATTAATATGAAATAATGATTTACATGACTATTATTCACTCTTAGATATTATTGCTTCTGAATGGAAATTTTAATAGAATAGTTAAGAAGCCCTTATATAGTAAAATTAATCCCAGAATGAAAATAAGTGTCAAAAGAAAGTAATAAAGTGACTTTTTGTGGGAGAGCTAAATGCAATATCATGATTCTACCATTACAGTTTTTATATTTTTAGTGAAAATTGCTTTTATTATTAACTCCAAGATTAAAATCTATGTGCAGTATTTCTGCATTAATGAACTAGGAAATATACATTACTGAGGACTTAAGCCTAAATTTTTAAAGATCATTTTGAATATACTACTCCTTTTACCTGACTTGCTAATGAGGTTGCTTTTATGCTTGTTGAGAAAAAAATGGTCTGTGCTGAATGCCACTCCTCATTCATGATAGACCAGACAAACCATACTTTTGTAATTGTAATGGCTATGGAATGACAAAAGTCCTGTTCAAAAATCTTCAAACAATATAAACTAATTTAAAACCCACAGTTACATGTAGACCCTAACTTAAAATAAAAGCCTTGGAAAAAAAATAAAATTAAACCTGTCCATCATTCAGGAAATTTTAGGTTAACGTCAAGTTTACAAGCAGTCTTATGAACAACAATACACTTGTTCAAATACATCCATCTGTTTAAGGACTTCCATGTACCTATTTATCAATTTTCCATATATTCCTTTGTGTGAAGTTGTGAAGGCCTTGGAACAAGAATGGAAGTTGTTGAAAACATTTCATTTGTAACAAAGTTCAGTATGTGATGATACAGGTTGGGCCCTGCTGCATTAAATATACAGACAAAAGGGTTTATCTGAAATATCCACTTCAGTGCAAGATGGCTTAGACCAAGCAGAAAACTGGCAGAGGTTCTGGTCCTATAAAACAAACCTGAGAAGTAAAAAACTATTTAAACGAGCCAGAATTTGAGTTTGGGAGGGACAAGTAGCCACCTTAATGCTTTCCTTTTCACTGTCTATTCCAAATACATATCTATAGGCATTTATAGAATTAAAAAATAAATATAAATCATACCCCAGTTAATCACTACTTTCCATTATTCCTTGGTTGCTTTAGTTAGTGAGACTTGCTCCTACTCACTTGCTCACCTACGTAGAGTAAAAATGTGATCTGAAGTGGATTTATTGCAGGGTGTCTATGCTTCACAGCCAGTTTCTCAGAGTAAGTGCTTAAGGAAGCTTGCACCCTTAACCCAAGGTTAAGCACCCTTAGAGACTTCCACAAAGGCAGCTGTCTTTCTACTGAATGTATAGGTCAAAAGCCAGGCAGGTACAGGACTTAGGGAACCAGACCACCTGGACTTTCCTGAGGCACTATTCTAGGGATAAAACCTTATGGGTTTTATGATAGCTTTAAAGATGCTCAGAAGAATATGCAAAATTATTTGTGATAAGGCATCACAGTGTTTGATATCTAAGAATTTAGACCGTTTGGCAGAGGTTTGGGAGAACCAGTTTTTGGATCACATCTCTGTCCTCTCTGGGCACCACACAAACCGTGGGACTCCAGCAGACAGGGATTTCCCCCCCCCCGTGGCCCAGGAATGCACAGCTTTCAAGATTAGAAGGTGAGGAGGTCAGAGGGAAATAATTATTGTCTCAGACCCCACTGTCTGCAAAGCTAAAACTTCAGAGGCTGCTTGTTGAAGTGACAGTTAAATCCTCTCTTGGCAGTCTCTCTGCCTCCTCCTTTCTCACCCCATACTTCTTGCCCAGGTGGGAGGACAGAATGTTTTTCTGTTAGAGTCCTATGGACTCCCTCCTAGGAGTGGACTTTCTCCTCACATACAGGATTCCTGTGTTCAAACTAAGGTTAAGGAAATTTTTAGTACACGTGGTGCTTATTTTTTGGACAAATCTTTGACTTCTATCACCAAGTTGTACTCTTATTTTCTTCAGACCTCTTTGAAAAGTTAGGCAGAATACTGAAAGGTCCATTTTTATGCCTGAATTCTAGGGGATTTTGAAAGGCAGCGAGGTGCCTGTCTGTCTACAGCACAGCACTCCTGAATAAGTAAGAGCAGCTAAAGTTAGGAGGAGAACAACATTTCAAACTGGAAATCTCTGCCATCTCAGATATGAGCTACAAGTGCTACATATAGCTCTGAATTACATTAGGTGTTTGCTTCTTTTCAAGTGAAAATGACTGATTCAGGACACTTTCATGGCAACTTTGAAAAGTGCTACAGTAACAAGAATACCTATTGCATAAACTCTGGAGAAACACAATCTGCCTAGGCAAGGGTGGTCAGCTCCTCCTAGCATGGAATTAAGACAAAACTAGGCCAGTTTTGGTCTGATGGTGTTAACATAACAATGTAGCACTATGAAATTGGAAGCTGACAAAATGGAAATAATTAAGACGTAACCGCAGGATGAAAATACACATGTAGCACATCTTTGGCAGATATTTCATAGTGGCTTCACAATGTTAGTTACAAAATGTTATGAATTTAAAATCAAATTCAGATAAAAATATTTTTAGTTATTTTTTTTCTGATTGACATACAAATAAGCCATATATTCACAACCGTATTTGGAATCTTTTTGTGACTAATTTAATTCATGCTACACATAATTGACAACCTTTGTGACACTGCTTACTTTTAGTTCATGTTGCCTTGATAGTTTGAGTTTTTATGTATATGACAATTATATTTTTTCTCTTAGGTTGAAATAAATCATCACTGGAGGGCTAATTCCTGGTTTTCAAACTGCCAGAAATACAGATCTGGTCAGCTTTTGCGTGAGATATATATGAATAGGTAACTCTTGTGGTATTATTTACAAATTTGAGAGGCAAAAATATCATGGAGCTCTAGCATGAAAATGCTGTGGTTACTGCTAGTATTTAAGAGATTGTTATTTTATGTGTGTGTGTCTGTCTGTTCATACGCACTTATCTCACATATTTTCTGTATCTCTACTCATATCTACATATACTGGTCGGTGTCTTATCAAATGAGGCATATCTTCTGGTGTCTGAAGGCAACACAGCAAAAGATTGGCTGGTGACCTTAGAAATCATCCTTTTTCCCTCCATGTCTCTGTATGTGTACCAGGATCAAAAGAAAATACTGAAGATGCCTGTGCTGGTTCTGCCTTGCAGACACACTCCATCCATCCATTCTATCTCAGAGCACCACACAGCAGCCACAGGACAGTGTTGTGGAGAAACAGAGGCTCTGTGCAGATATGCAGGGGTGGAAGAGCAGCAAAATGACTAGTGATGATGCAGGCAAATAGGGGGAATAGCACAGGGGAGAGGCCTGCACAGCAACAGTCTGTAATACAGCTAGGTCTGCTTAGCAGGCAGGCATGCAGGTTCATCTATGGTGGCAAGGAAAAAAAAACCTCAACATTTGAAGATGGGTTAAATTCCAGCCCAGTGAAGTGTATAAGAAGAACTGAGAAATTATCTGACCAGCTATTGTTTTTCTGTTATTTCTCTGAAAATGCTGAATTCTAAATTGGGTGCAAATAAAGTTATTGGAAAAAAATATAAAAATGGCACGAGGGAATTGTGTTTTTTGCTTTTTAGAGATTTATATATTGTGCTTGTTCCCTATGTAATAGTGGTAAAATTTGAAATGACAAGGCCCATAGGCCTATTTGAGACATTTTAAAAACTGAAGTGTCTCTGGAAATTGTTAATCATTTTATTGAAAACTTCTTCATAAAAACAAACAAAACTGTTGTATTCATAACTGTGTTGAAGCTACGAAGTTAAGTATAGATCAGCTAGTCTCTGGAGAGGGCAGGCATTCTTTTTTTTCATTTTATTCTTCCACTGTTTTTTATTCGCTTTGTTTTCCCCTTATTCTTAATTCTTCTTTTATATTTGTAAGGCTCCATCTTGTAAATACTGAAAAATATAGGAAACTACATGTACAACAGGGCAGCTGAGAGCAGTAGGAAGTTTTGCAGGTCTGGTCATCAGCAATGACTCTGTGAAGGACGATTGTCTCTTTGTGCATGCATGTGGTGCAATAATTTGAAATTTTTAGCAAGCTACATATGTGTTACCTAATTCAATTAACAGACGACTACAACACTTAACATGATTTGCGTGGAAAAGTAGCAACTCAGTAAAAAACACACTGTGTTTTATTAGCTTCTGAATGCTAGCTCCTCCTAACTTTACCAGATGAATCTCTCTACAAGTCTCAAATGCCTGGACCAGAACATGTAACTCTCACCTAGGAGAGTATCTCATTTAAGAGAAAACAAACATCCGTGAGATTGATCTTCAACTCATTTCTGTTAAGGGAACTTTAATAAAGTCCAAGGGATTTCACTGGTTTATACAAGTTGAACTCCTGTAGGAAGGATGAGAGCATCTGACCATCTAAGATTAAAACTAATTAACAAAACTAGAGTTTGGAAGAGGGTGGTAGTCACAGATTTTGCCAGCCACCAAGAATTTACGGAAAATAAATACCTTTGTGAAGCTGCAACTATGTTTGCCAACCGTTTCTTTCCCTGTTTCTGAGAAATACACTATACTTGCTCAAAGAAAGACTTTGAAGGACTTTGTACTTGTTTTGATGATCTGCACAATTACAAACTGTCTTCTCCTGTAAGAGGCAGCAAGTTTCGACTTTATAACAGCATGAGTGTACACAAACTTTTCCTTCACAAGAGACACATCTGTGCTAGGGGGTCTGTCCACAGAAAACAGAGAGAAGGTCAGGCACAGGTAGATGTAGATGGCTAGAATTCTTAAAGGAAAGTTTTTTTCTTATTATATTTTTGACAATTCTAGTCTGGCTACCATAAAAGAGTTCTTGCATAGGCATTTCCAGACTCCAACACAACGTGAAGTCCTGTTAAACACCTAAAAGGTGGATTCTGAAAGGCTGAACACAAAGGGACTATGAATGGAAAGGTAGATATATTTAAAAGAGAAGGTTATGAGCTTTTCAGCAAAATACGATTGGATATTTTGAGCCTTTATTCATTCTATTTTTGAATTATTCTTTATAACTGTTTTGCATTTCTGAATCATCTAACACTTGGATACCTAAGCATTGAAAATTAAACAAAAGAGTCAAAGTTCTCTGCAACTTATCTTCACTTTCTAATGCTGATGAAGTGAACTTAAAACACCCATTCATTTAAGCAATGTAATCCACACTTTTCATCATTAAATTAAAAAAAAAAATAAAACAGTGAAAAGAATAGGGGTTTAAGCCAGTCAAAAGAAAGTCCCTGTGGAAGCTCTGCAGGAGCCAAACAAGTTCACTATATAACTAACAAAACAAAAGTGAAATAAACCCCCCACACACCACTTCTAAGAAATATAAATCATAAAAGGTTTACAAATAGCATCAAAAATGTCCTTTTCTTTTCCTAAGTCTGAATGTAATCTTCTTGAAGCAAGCCATCTGGGACAGGCATGCTAACTACAATGGCTTAGTTATAGTAGTATTTGCTCTTCAATACAAAGGCTGATTTGCTTCACTGTCATTAGTCCAAGCATCAGTAAGGTTTCTCCTTTAACAGCTAAGTTCCCACTGTAAGAGGAATCTTCTAAAATCAATATAGGAGGTGAAAATGCTATGTGTGATAAAATGTTACAGATAAAGTATTGTAAGAGATGATACATCTCTTTCAAAGATGAAGGGGGCAGATTGGGGGCACAGTAAAATGTTATGAAGGAAAAAGAAAGAAGTGAAAGAGAGATTAAGCACACAGTTATGATTTGGCAACACAGGACCATACCAGAAAGAAATAATAATTTTGGTATGCTCGGCCAAACAAAACAACATAAATGGAAATACCTGCATTTAAAAAAGTGTTTACACTTTTTTGGATTAATTTAACCTGGCACCAGGCTATAGCAAAGTTATAATATAACCTAGTTTTTCAAAAGCATTTTGCACCTTTTGATGCCTCTTTTTTTTTCTTAACAGCAACCTGAAAGCTTTTAAATAGGCCTATTTTCAACAGGAGTACTGTTTACCAGCCTTTTGATGACAGCAGTCCTCAAAACATAAGACACTTAAGTTCACCTCTTGCTTTTGTAAACATTCACCACTTTGGGGCTGTCACACTGTTGAACTGAGTCATGAGTTTGCAGGCTAAAACAAGAAAAGGCAATGTCTTCAGGATCTATACCTGAAACTTTCATCAGGCAACAATACCAGAATCTGTGGGTAAAATCTATCTTCCACTTACTGAAGCAAAATTACAGGTTCAAGATCATTTGTGTTATGAAGAATTTAAGTGATTGCTCAAGGTATTAATGTTTTGGGTAATTTCATAAACTAAACTGGAATCCAGACCAAAATACATAACTGAAACACCTTTGTAGGCAGATGAAATAAAAACTGGAATTTGTACCTCATGCCCATTTCTAATTGCAGCATAACTTGCTTCCATTATTGCTTTATAGCTGCAAACCAACACTGCCATCCACTGTTTTTCTGAGAAATCTTTCAAATATTTGCCCAAATGGCCTTGAATACTGAAAAATGCACTGACAAAATTAAAACTCTACTAGCTTCTTTGCAATGGATTACATGTGGCCAAAAATTTATATAGGTACTTAAAGCACCTTTTATTTTAACTCAGATGTAACATCTAATTCTATATTAATAATAAGAACAGGCATTTTTATCTAATCTTGGGTAGATGCTGTAGAAGAGCAGAGTTCATAATTTCTCTAAAATGGATGCAGTGTGTTAACTTTCTTTCTGGTGATTTCACTCCAAGTGTCTTGTTATGCCAACCTTATACTTCTCTAAGTCTCACACAGCTTTATATTGTTAGAGAAATCCTTAATATAATCAAAAGTTTCTTAGTTCTAAAAAAAAAAAAGGCTGAAATATCAATAGTTGTTTTCATTTGAAGCATCATGCAGGTCTGTATTGACATGCAAATGATAAAGACAATATCTGCATAATAAACATTATGCAAGTCACAACCATGCAAGTGCATGGTCTGGAGGCTTCTCTGAGTAATAAGAGAAACCCATGGCTAAAGTTCAGCATTAAATGTCACCCTGAATTGTTATTGCTAATCCTGCAATAGGCTTTCCCACCGAACAGGCTTTTTTTTCATATTGATGACAAATACAAGCTGTAAGGGAATGCAAGTGTAGTTTAAGCAATATGTATTTTTTGTTAATGTAACCATATGCATTAGTAAAAAATGTTATTATTATAGCAGTTACAGCAGTTATTATTTCTATCCTTGCATTTTAGGACTATTGTTTTCCTTGCACTAAGTGGAGGACTTTTGAAAAATGCTCTGTCTACAGACCCTTAAGCTGATTTTTTTTTTTCCTTAGGCAAAGGGCAGACAGTGTCAACATGCATTTTGTTTTATCCCACTAGAGGGCCCATGGCAAGGGCTGAAAGCCCTTTTTTGAAAGAAACCACACGATTGCTCCCAGGGACAGAGTTGGACTTTTTGTTGCTTGGTTTATCGTCCTTTTTTCCTTCTCTTTGGTTTTGTTTGTTTGTTGTTTTGGTTTCTTTTTTAACTCCTAACATGGCAGTCTCTCAAACAACCTGCAGTTGCTTTCATTTTAGTATCTTTTCACATAAGTTTTCCCAATAGACACCAAAAATCTGTCAAAGGTTTGTTACTTTAACAACCTGATCTGAGCCAGCCAGTATTGGCCAGGGTGTAAATCTGGCATGGAAGATGCTGTATCCCATTACTCAATCCTACAGCCAGTACATGCAACTGCCTTCCCTTCCTCCCCCCTCTCCCCCGCCCCCCGTACTTAAACTATAAACATTATTATAGTTAAAGACTATTGAACTCACGGATCATTAGACTTAGGGATGAGTGTGCCAAGCTCCTTGATTCGGTAATTAATATTATATCTTCTTCTTCTCTCAACTGTTAAAAAGAAACAATTATTATTTTTATGGTGAAATATTCTTGGATAAATTCAACATAAACATTTTAATAAGTTAAAAACAAGTCAGTCAATGTACAGAATATTTGTCCCTCAAATAGAAGTCCCAACCTGATCTCTTGCCTGTCTCTGATTTACTCTCCAGACAAACTCCATGATTAGTACCATCTCTGTGTCTTACCCTACCTGTAGGATTCTCCCCCATTTACAGCTAGGCTCCTAGAGACTGAAATAGTCATCTGTTGTCTAAATGTGAGCTAACAGCTCTTTTTTTTCTCATGATTGTGCATCCTTTCTCCATCCTGGTCCCATACAATAGAGTTTTCACCTTATTGGAGTTTTGCTGATGACTTCAACAGGGACACAAGACAACTCATCAGCATTTCATATTTTGGCAGAACTCCTGCCACAGATCACAGTTAACAGTTTATCTTAATCTCTTATCTACACTTATCAACACTGCAGACCACAGAGAAGATATAACTGCAACCATATCCCTTCATTGAAACAGAGAAAGATTGTGTCCCAGAAACACTTCAACCTCAGCACATCTGTTTCCTTTGGTGATGGACAGCACAAGTGTGTTTGCAGTGACTTTTAAAATTCACAGGAAATTAATCCAAATATAATTTAAATAATACAAAAATTTGTTTTTAAATTTATGCATCTCCTAAGATCAACTATGTATGGTATCTTGGTTTACTTGTGGTTTAGGTAGAAAGGAAAAAAGAGAAGATAAGCTGCTTAAAATTAATTCCTCCTCTCTGCTCCCAGTCCACTTTATCAGCATTGTACTGGTAGCCAGACTGGAGTCTGTGACCCTTCTCTGCACAAAGTCTGTCACCTTTCTGCCTCTCATTTCACTAATTTAAGGAGAATTCTCCTCTGCTTCTTCACCAATTTTTCTCCAGCTGCTTTTACATGCAGAAACTTCACATTTTCCAGTGAGTGGGCCAAAAGGACATCTCATTGCTTTGGGAGATTTCTTGTATATGATTATGACACAGTATATTCAATGAGAATGTAGTCCCGTTGTGGTACTGCTAGCTGGCAGACGCCAGCAGTGATGATCTACTGGCATGACCCCCACTTTTGTCCACACCCTCCACACTGTACTTTAGCTCAATCCAAACCTCACTGAATGGACAGGATTCAACTTTGGTCCACAACTAGCAATGCTTTGAACTGTTTCTTTTATCCTTTGCTTCTCGGACGACCTTACCTTGGGTTCAATATGCTGCCACTGTACTCCATAAGACCATATCTGACCAGCCTGAAATATGGTCAGAATGGATACATGCTTCCTTACTCATGTATGGAGATGCACATTTGAAGTTTGATGTCCTGGTCTTGAATATAAGTATAAAAAGCCTGTCAGAGCTAAAATAGAAGTGTGCAGCCAAAGGTGTCCTGATGAGTCTTCCTAGGCTGACATGAACCTTCTCACAGTCATACAAGCCTATCACTTTCAGTCTCAGCCACATGACAAAGAGCACTTTTAGTTCTTAACTTCTACCAACACATAAAGGAGTTTGCTTCCTGTCTGTGTGAGGCTCCTAGGTTTGTGCAGCTGTCAACTACTTCCTCCCCAGTTGATTCTAGCTCAGGAAACTCCCTAGGTGTTATTACGTACCCTGATGAAGTGCTCTGCCTTGGTGAGACCTACTATCTTGCCTGCTCTCTCCAGGAACAGGAATTTCACTCAACAGATTAAAGCATCTCATGTTTTGTAGTCATGATTCACATATTCAGGGGACAGGGTTATAATCCTCTTGAGTGTATTGTTAAGTAGCCCCTTGCATCCCATTGGCACCAATGTCCCAGATCTTGTAGGAGAACACTGTGCAAATGCACATAGCAACTAAACAATTTAAAAGAGATTTCAGATACGTTGGGAAAATAATGACAGGGGAAACAGAGTTAAAGAATGTGCGTTAACTGCACAGTCATATGGCATAATAGCTGTTGTTTAATTAATATTTACAGTATGGAAAAGCTATGCAAGATACATAACAAAAAAAGGGTCAACTAAACATTGGCTATAAAACTAGAGATAACTTTTTTTTTTACAAAAGGTTACTCTCAGAATTCTTTTTCTTTCTATTTTTGTAGTTTTTTGTGAAAAGAAACTTCCAATAGTTATGCTACTGAATTATTGAAATTTTGAAGCTTGTATACCTCTTTCAGTTGAGATTTCCTGATTTATGTCTTTTACAGTTCCACTGGTACACAGAGCTATTAATAACATTTCAAGTATCACATTATACCAAAACCAAAACAGAAAATCACTTTTGAATCTACATGAACAGGATGACCATATAACAAACATTACACCTTTAATTCCTTGTTTGGAAAAAGAAACAACCAAACAAACAAACAACAAAATACTTTTAGTAATGGTTTAAACTCTTGCTGTTACATGAAGAAAGGGCTCTATTCTTAAATCTAAATACCTTTCATGGTTTCGTTGAAGATGTAAGCTTTCAAAACGAACTTTTTTTTCTGATTCCTCTTTCATATAAGAAAGCGCAAGAATTTTTCTATAAAATATGGACTTTAATTCATCCTGAAATCTGAATGTTTATATAAATCTGATCGAGCTACAAAATCTCATTTTTACACCATCTCTAAAAAACATGGTACTCATAAAAGAGTAAACCACACTCTAGGGACACTGGCACTTAAGAGAAGATGTGCTAGCAACAGGCCTAAAAATCTACAGTCTGTCTGTAATCCACAGAAACATATGGACAGAAATAAGGAAGCGTTCTGGAAAGTCCAGGTAGCACAAATTTGTTCACAGTGGTTGCTAGCACTAGGTACCAGTGGATGTATACTTGAATGTATGTAATTTCATGCAAGTAAAGCCATAAATCCCTCTAAGATTACCAGAATAGCCAGAAAAACAAGCTATAAAAAAGAAAACAAAGATATAAATAGTGGTTATTAACGAATTACTAATTTAGGTTTAAATTCATAGAATCATACAATATCTCAAGTTGGAAGGGACTCATAAGGATCGGTCCAAGTCCCAGACTATTACTGCTGGAAAAGGTGTAAAGGAGAACTAAAAATTGTAAGTGCTTTATTCAACAGTTTGCAAAAAGAATCCTTCAGGGTTTTTTTGTTTCAAATTACTCTTTAGAGTGAAAAAATGCCTAATTTTATAGGAACTCTTCCTTCGGGAAGTGGGGTTTTTTTAAATTTTATTTTATTTTGAATATACAAAAATGTTTATTGCTATAAGTCTCATTTAATTTAGGCACTGAACTATGAGTTTCACTATGTTCTAAGCCTAAACTACAGAAGATTATGCCATGGAACTGAAATGCCTAACACCTGCACATGGCTACACTGTTCTCCATAAAGGAAACAGAAATGCATCCCAGACTACAGAGGCTAGGGAGCTGGTGTATCAAAGCAGTCATAGAACACTGTGCTTCAACCCATCCTGCCTTGACCTTGTTTTACAGCACACCATTTCCATAACTTTAAGTGCTTAACAAGTGTTTAGAAGTTGTCTGATATCCTCTGTATTTTTTTTTCCCTTCCCATCACCCCTGGAGAGATAACAGCTTCACCCTTGGGTGCTTCAGTAAGCAAGGTGTGAAGACTGGGGTTTCGCTGTTGTTTTTTTTTCATCATCCGCCTCCTTTCTTGTCTGTTTTGCACTGTAATTCTTAGAGACAGCATCAAGTAAAGTGTGCAAGATACAACTGTCAAATAAAAACATAGTAGGAGAAGATGATATGGAGAGAAATCCATTACAATATGTAAAGTATTATGAAATGTAAAAGTCAAAGAGAGAAATTAGTTTCAGGGAAGAAAGTTCTGTGGTTGGCTGTATTTGCACTCCATTCAGTTTGATCAACTCTGGTTGAGAAGAGTAGAGATATGGTAGCTAATGTATATTAGTTTTGCATTCCTCATTCATGCAATGTAATGAGAAGGAAGATGAACACATACTTACTGAGATTATGATTATCCTTTTTTTGTCTCTCCTTTGCCATTGCTCGTGTATCTGCTTCTGACAGAAAGTAACATTTATTAAAACAGTCCTTAAGTTGTGAATCCTGTACTTTCATCTTTTCAAAATGGCTTCTTGTCACAAAGAGTAGCCTCGAGGTCTTTTGACCTCATTACCCTTTTTATTATTAAACAAGACCATAAGCAAATTTATATTGTGCCAGTACTAAATTTTGAGCAAGTCTGACAGGTTTCTTGAGATTTTTTTTATTGCATATGTTATATTTAAGAACATAGAAATGCCATGGAGGGGTAATTTTCTCAAATTTGCTGTATTTTACATCAGGATAAAACTTACAATACGCTAATGTGAATATGGATTTGTATATCCCATAATGCAAGAGTTAATCAGATTTGTAAGGTATTGAACAAACTCACTGTTTCCTCTGAGTAACACTAATAACTGTACATGGTTGTTAACATTCTTTGGATTAATTGAATGTAACTTTTAAAGTTGTTAATCCACTAATATAGATTTACCTTGAATAGCCTTATTGTAGGATTTTAAAAGAACCACTTGTTCTACCCTGGAACAAATTTAATGGATGATAATTTATTTATAACATTGATCATGAGCCAATATGTGGAAGAATCCACTATGTTTCTTAAAATAATTGTTTCTTAGAAACATGATGTTCACAAAAAACAGAGGGCAAACATGGTTTCTGAACTGTTAAAGAGGAGAACAGAAACAAAACATTTCTTCTTATCTCTGTTCTTTTCCACAAATTAAACTACAAAAAGCAAAATTTTTCAGAATTTAATTATGAACACTTATTTAATAGGTAAGATTTATTCAACTTTTAAAAGAAACATTATCATTTCTGAAATTGTAAAATGCTAAAATCTCAGAGTTCTTTTACCTGTGAGCTCCCTTTTTACTGGTAGGTTTGCTGGGCAAGAAGCATTTGTGAGACCCATATTAGCTGGTGCCGTTCCCTGGTCACTGTTATATATATCCAAAATACTGCTAGATAGCTTGAGGGGGACGAAAGAAGAATAAGAGAAAGAAAAAAAAAAAAGGCATTTAAAATAAGTTAAAGATTTAAAAGATTAAAGAAACAACCATGACTACAAAGAGCAAGCTTCTTTGAGTACGAGTCTGGTGTTCTTTAGAAGGAGCTGTGTGTGTGTGCCTAAAGGGAAAGTTTACCTTAATGTAATATTAAGTAAAATTGATTGAAAGTGGAGGGTCATGGTCTGCCACTTTTTCACAAACAGATTTCTAAGTGTCATTTGTGTGGGTTTCAGATGCAGAGTGATGGCAGAATATGGCCCCCAGTGTCTGTTTTTCAATTACTTCTATACTGTATTTTCCAATAACAGGATTATCACAACTGCACTTCAAACATGAATTAGGTTGAAAGTAAAAATAACCTTGCTGGTTTTGACCTACTCTCCAGTGATTTTTTAACCACATCACTTGAAACTTCATACTGTGCCTGGTTTAGCAGTATAAAGATTCAATGACCCAGTTAGACTCAATAGTTAAAATTAGAGTGGACAGAACATCAAAGAATATGCTTTAAGGAAAGAAACTGTGCTGTTGTCAGGATAGACCGGATAACCTAATGGTTTTAACATGTGTGACATATATGATCACGTATAACATGATCTTTATAAACTTCCAAAATACAATAAGATATTATTTAAATAAAACCATAGAATGTACTTAAAGAGAAATAATGCTGAAGTATGTTTCTATGGGTTCCAGATAATTACCCAAGTATTATTTTTACTTGAATATTTTAACGTATTTGAAATAACTGTAAAATATTTAAAAGTTTAGTAAAGAACATATGTATGATCATAAAAGCAACTTTTCAGCACTGATCATTACGTCATATATTTCTGTACGTACATGTGAAAACACCTGTATAAAAAGAGTCCAAGTCCAAATTCACAAAAAAATTGTTTGGTTTTTTTTATTTAAAAATACATATAAAGTTTGTGTTGACTTTTTGTTTGTTTGTTTTTATTTGTTTTCAGCCCACACACAAAGACTCAGAAAGTGAGCTTGGGTCCAGCTGTCCAGGAAAAATAAAAAAAAAATTGAAAAAGTGGTTGAAAAAAAGCAACATTATGGGTAAAACTACTAACTTAAGACAGAAAAGCATGAATGGAAATTAGAAGTTTCTTAAGAAAATGTTTTTTTTTTCTGTAGGCAACATGCTTTTACAGATCTGCCGTGCACCTATGGATCCTCAAATACCCTGGAATTTTTCAGGCATGTCTCTGACACACCAACCATAGGTCTGCTGGGAACCAGCTTTTTTAAGACTGTTTTTTTATTTATCTTCTTGTAGAGACTGTGAGCTTCATCATAAGTTATTCTGAATGGAGGTACTTTCCCAGTCAGTTGCACTGTGTGAAATTTCCCATTGCAGTGCTTGCTATATTTTTATATTAAATCTGAAATTTTAAACAAATATTATTTGTAAATAATGATTTCACTACATTAATAAATTTACCAAAGTATCTGAGAACTTAGTTTATGGTAAATTCTCCTAGTTGCATAACTCACAACGAAATGAAGCAATCAGGATTCTTTTTGAATACACACAAATAACATACTCATTTTTAAAGTAGAGGTTTTTTTACTTAGGAGAACTGACAATTCTTAAATACTATTAGAAATCACAACCGCAAGTCAGTTTTGAAAATCTGCTTACATACTTGATCTCCCAATGAAAATACTTTTTTAAAAAATGTTTGGAATTCAGTTGAGTATTACTCAAGAGCAAGCTATGTCTAATATGCAGGATTTGAATACTAAGCGCATTCGCACGTTAAGCACCTTTGTTTCATTCCAGAGTGGTAAACTGACAAGTGCTACAGAATTCACTGCAGCTTTACCATTGCATTCCCTTTGTTCCAGGGGTAGTATAACTGTAGTACAAGACTGAACGCCTATTAGCTCTAGACACGTATTTAATTGCTTCCTACATTCATGTAAATGCATCTGGCTTATTGAAATTATAGAAAAAAATTGAGAGTCCATGTGACTTCTACACTTATTCCAGTGGACTTCGGCTATGGCTATTATATGTTTTAGGCTACTGCTTTTGTATATGCTAAGAAATAATAGCTTACTGAGAGTAATATGATCTAATAGATAATCTAAGAAACAAGAAATGCATATCTATAATATTTTACATATTATTTCACACAACTTGCATGAAAATGGTGGTAATCTACATTTGTAAGATTATCAATACCATTAATCAGTATTGAAAAACATAAATTGGAATTGTAAACCACAGTTTGATACAAACAGGAGATGTATCAATGGTTACTTCTAATTTTTAAGCAGTAATGAGGCTTTATCCTCAAAATAAATTTAACCTTCTGAAGTCTGTTGATAAATGTGTGAATTAAAATTACAAGGCTCGAATCCAAGTGAAAAGGTCACAAATAGCCAAACTAGCTGGTAACGAAAAAATAATACCAACACGCACAAACGTTCAGAAGTGCGTCAGGATTCAAATGAGGATGAGTAAACTCAATTTAAAACCATAAGTAGACATTTCAGCTCAATTTGATTACACAGTTTGTGAAGGTGCTGCCATCTAACTCAAATGGTATTGTCTGGAGAGGTAAGAGTTCATATTTCTCCTTCCATTAACCAAACCTCTAGGGCAGCGTGATTCCACACAGGCAGGACCGCCAGTATCTCTTCACGGTCTGTGTCTGGTTGCGCTAATGTTTCTGTTGAGTAGCCAGAGGTATGAAATACTTTCCCAAATGTTCCATGTAATTTTTGTTTCACACAGGTAGAGGCCAGCATTTTTTCCCTCATCGTTTGGCATTTTTTTTTCAGTTATTGTGAAAGCAGAGTCATAACTCCATTTGGAGATGAAAATTACATTCAAAGCCAAGTCATTCATCTACTGATGGCTACAATCCTATATCCCCACTAATTAGAATGATTCACATCTGTGTTAATCCAGAAGGGATAGGCAAGACAGGAGAGGTGGTGGGGTAACCTTGTATGTCAGGGAGTATTTTGATTGCCTCGAGTTTAATGATGGTAATGGTTGAGTCTCTGTGGGTAAGAATCGAGGAAAGGCCAACAAGGCAGATGTTGTGGTGGAAGTCTGTTATAGACCACCCAGCCAGAATGAAAAGGCAGATGAAATATTCTCTAAGCAGCTGCAAGAAGTCTCACAATCACTAGCCCTTGTTCTCTTGAGGGCCTTCAACTTATCAGATAACTGAGAGAAACACAAAGCAGCAGAGAGGAAACAGTCTTGAAGGCTCATGGAGCATGTGGAATATAACTTCCTAACAAAAGTGGTGAGTGTGCCATCTAGGGAAGGTGCCCCACTTGGACCTCCTGTTTACCAGCAGAGAAGGACTTGAGGACAATGTAATGATTTGAGGCCATCTTGGGCATAGTGATCATGAAATGATGAAGTTTTCAATTCTTGGAGAAGTAAGGAGGAGAGTCAGCAGAACTGCTAACTTGGACTTCCAGAGGGCAGATTTTGGCCTTTTTAGGAAACTGTTTGACAAAGTCCCTTGGGAGGCAGTCCTGAAGGACAAAGGAGTCCAGGAAGGCTGGACATTCTTCAAGAAGGAAACCTTAAAGGTGCAAGAGCAGGCCATCCCCATGTGTTGAAAAGTGAACTGGAGGAGAAGACCAGCCTGGCTAAACAAAGGCCAATGGTTGGAAATCAGGATGAAGAGGTGAGTTGGAGAACAGACAGGCAACTCAGAAGGACTACAAAGGTGTCGTGAGATTATACAAGGAGAAAATTAGAAGGGCCAAAGCCCAGTTGGAACTTAATTGGGCTACTGCCATAAAAGGCAATTAAAAACATTTCTTTAAATATGTTAATAATAAAGGAGGATTAAGGAAAATCTCCATCCTGTATTGAATGTGGAGGCATACATAGTGACTAAGGAGGAGGAAAAACCTGACATACTGAATGCCTTCTTTACCTCAGTCTTAAACAACAAGACCAATCATTCTCCAGGTACCCAGCATCCTGAGCTGGAAGACAGGGACCAGAGTGAAGCTCTCATAATCTGAAGTGAAATGGTTAGCAACCTTTTGCACCACTTTGACTTAAGACAAGTCTATGGGCCCAGAGGGAATCTACCCAAGGGTACTGAAGGAGCTGACAGAAGTGCTCACTGAGCTACTTTATATAACTTACCAACAATCCCGGCTAACTGTGGAAGTTCCATTTGACTGGACATTAACAAATGTGATGCTCATCTACAAGAAGGTCTGGAAGAAGGATCTGGGGAACTACAGGCCAGTCAGCCTGACCTTGATGTTGGAGGAGGTTATGGACTAGATTATCTGGAGTGACATCACATGAAACCTCAGGAGATCAGGCTCAGTCAGCAAGGGTTTATGAAAGGCAAGTCCTGCTTGACTAACCTGGTTTTCTGTGACAAGGGGGTTGGGGGGATAAAGAACAAGTTGAGAGTTTATGGGTAGGACTACAAGGACAGGCTAATATGAGTGACATTGTTGCAGGTATTTACTGCAATCTACCTGATCAGGAAGATGAAGGTGGTAAGGCCTTCTACAGACAGTTGAAAGTAACCTCACAACCACAGGCCCTGGTGCTCATGGAGGACTTCAACCACCTGCTGGAAAGGCTACACAGTTAGGCACACACCATCCAGGAGGTTCCTTCAGAGCACTGATGATAATAACTTTTGGACACAGGTGGTGGAGGAGCCAATGAGTCGAGATGTGCTGCTGCACCTTGTATTTACAAAGAAGGTCTGGTTTGGGCTGCAAAGGTTGGGGACAGCCTTGGCTGCAGTAATCATGAGACAGGAGACTTCAGGATCCTACTTGGAACAAGCAGGTCAATAAGTAAGATTACAGTCCTGGACTTCAGGAGAGCTAACTACTTGGAGGAATCCCATGGGTTAGGGCTCTAGATGCGAGGTTAGAGAGAGAGCTGGTTAATATTAAAGCAGCACTTCCACCAAGTTCAAGGTCAGTGCATCCC